TTTTAAGGGGATTCCTAATTTATCATACTGTGAACAGAGTATTGCGCAGTCGGTAGCAGCCGACTGCGACGTTTTTGATTGATTTAATACTAGATTCCTTTGTATACATATATAAATTATATATATAAATATATTTTTTTTTATTAACAAGTGTTTTTCAGCTTTTTATTAGTTTTAAATTTAAATTAAAAATTTGCATTGCCTACTTTTAGCTGCTGGCAAAATGACTTTGTGCTAGAAATTGTATTGCGTGCTTTTGAGCGCAGCTCTAAAATAATGAAAATAAAGCAATTAAATGGCCAGGGTCAGTCAGGCAGTTAGACAGCAGCCACCCAGACGTCTGACTGTCAGACAGACAGACAGACGGACGGACAGACGGACGGATGGACAGACAGAAATTTTCCCAGTCTCTGGCTGTTTGCTGGTCGCGTTGATTTTTCCTGCGCCGCTTGTACATTTTAATTGCCGCGACGCCTTTCGTTCGTCCGACAGTTGCCAAATCATTTTTTCACACGCACATACACACACAGACAGATTGTGCGGCTCGTCAGTCAGTCTCAAGTGCGTGTTTCCCATTTTCATTGCACGAAAATTCCCACAGCTGGGGTAGAATCCCGCACTTTTCGCCCCTGCAGCTAGGTGCATATGCGTCTGCAACTGCAACTGCATCTGCATCTGCTGCGGCTTCGAGTTTTTTCCGTTGCAGCGAGACAAATCAAAAATCTGTCACCTTTCGGAACTCTGACCAAGAACATGTTGCTGCTGCCTGCGGCCAGTACCTGTGCCCTTTGCCTTTGTCCTGGCCACGCCCCATTAATAAAGCGTTGACAGCCCAGCCTGAGCATGTCCTGCGTGTTGTCCTCGCGTGAAACTTTCATTGCTTGCTTGATTAATGTTGAATGCGTTCCGTTTAGTGTCATGTTCAGTTCTCACCCAATTATGCAAATTGCTGGCCAGCCAAAACCCACCCCCAGTGCCAGTCCCGGTCCCATTGCAAGTTTGTTGCTTCGGTCATTCGTTTTGGGCCCTGACATGCAAAGAAGTCAATAAACTTCAGTTGCAGTCGCAGCGTATCCTCCTCCTCCTCCTCCTCCTACTACAACAACAACAACGACAACAACAAATTTCCATAAAATGAAATCAACTTTAGAAGCAGCAGCAGAAGACAAAGCCGAGGCTGGAAAAGCGTTGGGCCCAGCCAGCAGCAGCAGCAGCAGCAGCCACATCTTCTTCTTCTGCTTCTTCTTTATCTGCTGCTGCTTCTTCTTCTTCTTCTGCTGCTTCTTCTTCTTCTGCTTCGTGTTAACCCGTAGGCAACAGGCACAGCTCGTCGACGACGTCGCTGTGGAAAACTCAGCGCCTTCGCCTTTGCGACGCGACTGTACTTTTCGTGTGGTTCGTGTCGGTCGCAGCAGAGCACAGGGTGTTGCCAGTTAACAACTCCTGTCTGTGCTCTTTCTCTCTCTCTCGCTCTCTGTTGATGACGTCGCTGCTTGCTTGGCAGAAGTGGAAAGTGTTCCCCCCCCCCCTTTCCCCCCTTCCCACTCACCTGGCTTTGCTCTTCTGCCGTTTGTTTGTTTTGACTCTTTGTTTTCTCGTGCCCCCTTCTGTACGTTCTTTACCTTCTTCACCCGATCGCCGGTTGTCATAGAGCCGTCTTCTGTTTGCTGCCACATATTAAACGACAACAACAGCAACAACAGCCCCGTTTTTCGTTTGGGTTTTTATTTAGTGCGCCTCTTGTTTGGCTCTGGCTTTGCATTAATTATGTTTCTGCCCTTTTCCACTTGTCGCTGGTAAATTAATTTTAACTCCCACCCATTGCCATGCACGTTCCCAGCTCCCAGCTCCCAGTTCTGGGTTCCCAGTTTAATTATGAGCAGCAGCTAAAAGTTGACGCACTCGCTTAGGCGAAGAGGAAGCCGTCTGAAGACATTGGCCCTGTGAGAAACTCCCACGCGACGGCTGTAAGACAATTCAGATCGCAGATCTGGATCTCTCTCTCTCTCCCTCTCTCTCTCCCTCTCTCTCTCTCATATAGCAATTGGGCCCAGTTCTAAGTTGATTGTTTCTTTATTTTCATGGCCATTTGGCTTTGGTTAGTCTCTCCCTCTCTCTCGTTACCTGCCTCTCCCTCTCTGGCTAAATGAAAAATCGTCTCGTCAAGTCGTTTAAGTGAAATTTGAACGCTTCAATGCGCAATTCCCACAAACTGTGCCTCAACCTGAACCTCAACCTGCGTCTCCTTGCTAAGGACAAACTCATTAAGGGGGTCGCGAGCATTTGCGATTGATTCTTCGCCGACTTCGTTCCTGCCAGAAGATGTGAGTACAATGACTTATCTGGCCCTAGATAAAGCCCTGTGCCACTTTGATAAGCCCGAAGTGGGCGGGGCTTATTTGCCTGTTAAACATCTAATCTCGACTCCATAACAAATCTGAATGCAAACAAACAAGCGCAAGCGCTTTCGAGTGCACTTGGGCATTTCTTTTCCCATTTATTTATTTATTTATTTATTTGTGTTTCGTTTTTTATACGCATGCTGTTTGCGGCCATAAAACTCTAAAAATTAACATGAGCAAACGACAAGGCGGCGGCGGCGGCGGCGGCGGCGGCGGCATCGGAATGGCGGCCATTAACACTGAACATCATCATTGGCGCAATGATCATCTGATCATGATCAGCGCTAAGCACGAGCATGCCGGCGTTAATCAGTCCAGGAGCAGCTCTCCGAGCACATGCCAAGCGGAGCACAAGATGCTGTTGCCATGGAATCATGCCTCCGGCTGTGCCTCTGCCTCCGGCTGATTCATCTTCAATCTTCAGCAGCTGCGCTCACAATTGTGACTCGCATTTTATACACTCGCATACACTCGCATATACATATTTATCATATATTATCGTTATTTGCATTTGGCTTAATTTGTGCCGTCGACGTGTTGACTGAAGGTTGTGCGACATGAACCCACAAGCCACAAGCGCAGCTTATCGCAGTTCGTGAAATTTTTGGCATTTCTTCACTTTTTGCCAGCCATGGGAACTGGCCAAGATAAAAGCCAAACAGCTGCAGCCAATAAACAGCTTTCCGAGAGATGAAGCCCAATTTTTCTATGCGCTCTAGTCGACAGCTTCTCTGTGTGAGAGTATTTGGTATTAAAAGCTCGATCTTTATGCAACTTTCTGGTCTTGAATATGACATGCATAAAGAGCTGGCACTTAAATCGTTCAAGCATAATTTGACTTTGTTGTAAATATATATTTGCTGTCCCATCAATAAGCTCGCTTGATATATTATCAAACTGTCTTTCTAACTGGGATTCAGTTTGTTGTTGTTGCTTTGTTTTATCAACTTTGCTGCCAGCTCTTGGGGCTCTGCTCTGTGCCTGGGCCCTGCTGCTTTGACTCCGTTTTGGCCCAACGCCAATCAATCAATAGTTTGGCTTTAAAATGGCCAGATTACGCGCAGCCGCAGCGTGACTCACAGACTGGATGCAGTTGCTGGAGTCGACTGGAGTCGACTGTCGACTCAGATGCAGCAGCACAATGCAATCCATTTATGTTTCTGTGTCTTTGGGTTTTGAGTCATGGGCCAAGTCAGGGCGATAAAAAACCGCCAGAAAAAGAAGACGCTTTTAAATATTGTATTTTGTTGAGAGAGAGGAGGAGAGAGTGCAACAAAAACGTGCAACATGAACGTGCTGTGGCTTACTTTTCACCTACAACCAAATAACAACAACAACAGCAACAACAACAGCAACAACAACAGCAACAACAGCAACAACAACAAGAACTGGCCAAGTTGCTGCTGCCGCTGTCTGAACCTTGTCTTTGGGTTTTTTTCGTTTGGGTTTTTTTTAATTTTTTTTTCTTTATTTCTGGGTCGATCGATTTGATGCTCGATCGTTGCGCCCTTTGCCGCTGGCGTTTTGCTGGCGATTCGCTAGCGTTTTGCTGGCGTTTCGCCAGCCGCTCGCTATGCTGCGGCATTTCCGCTTAACGCTGACTCAACAGACTCAACAGCATTGGCCATGGCCAAGCAGAAGAAGTCCCAACTGTGGCCAGTTGGGCTTAAGCCCAGCTAGCGAAGCTGTTTGCCCACAGTTCGATCTCACTCGCCCTCTCTCTCTCCCCCTCCCCCTCTCCCCCTCTCTCTCTCTCTCTGTTGTTGCTCGGCTTCTAATGCCAATTAAGGCGGTGCCACGCCCACTGGGCCCGCAAAGTGGCAACTGGTTAACTGGTTTTTGCGCCCTTTTCGCTGTCAAACGCTCGACTCCATTTCCATGTTCATTTCCATTTGTCATTTGAGCTGCGGCAAATCTGTGGGCACAGGGTGACCCAAGCGAGAGAGCCAGAGAGAGAGAGAGCGAGAGAGAGAGAGCGAGAGCGTGCGCTCAACTTGTTTACCTGCGCAAGCAGTTTACGTTTACGTTTTTACCTGTTTACCTGCCTCAGTCTCCTACTCCTCCTCCTCCTCCTCCTCCTCCTCCTCCTCCTCCTCCTCGGTCTGGCTGGCCTACTGCAGCACGCAAAACTCCCCCGAAATTCGAGTTGGACGGCGACTTGTTGTTGGCTCAGGTGAGCTAAAGTCGTCGACTGCCAGTGCTGCCAGCCGTCGCTTCGACATTTAAGCTGAAAACCGCTAAAAATAGCTGCATTTAGCTAACATTAAAGCTGTCTTTCAAGAGTCTGCAAGCATTACAGTCTCTCTCTTTGAATGTGTCTCAATATGTTGGCCATCAGTGTTTAGCACTAGTCAAAAGGGCAGCCAAATCAGCTGCCACTTTTGGCTAGAAAACAGCTAAATTGGCCAACAGTCTCTGGCTATTGATATAACAGAAGTTCTTGTCTCTATTGTCTCGTCGCGCAAACCGGTCGTCGCCTCTCCCTCTCTTTTCCACTCGCTCTCTCTCTCTCTCTGTCGCTCTCTCTCGCGCTCGCGCTCGCACTCGATGCCCGCGCTTGGCCTGGCCAAGACAAACGAGTTTCAGTTGCGAGCCAATTTTTGTAGCGCGTGGACGTCGCAGCGCGCAAATCAAACGAGTCACAACTCGAACCGCACACAAAACTCGACTATCGAAACGGGAATTCAAAACTCCGACGCGTAAACGGAACAAAAAATCAAATCAAAAACGCGCCAAACGCAAATCAAAATTTGTTTCGTGTTTTATTGCCCTGCATTTGCTGTACATTTTTTTTGTTGGTGTTGTTGTGCTGTGGCCGAAAAAAAAGTTGCCCGCGAAGCTGCGAAGCAGAAGAGCAACAGGCATAGTTATTATTGCTCTTAGCACTTGGGATATATCGCATTGGATCGCATTGGACTAAGTCGAAATGTCAGCGTAAGTTAACAAATTCGCTGCGCTTCAAAGTTTGGCCAAAAGTCGCAGTTGACCGCGAGCTGAGCTCAGCTGAGCTGAGCTTCTGCTCTCCGCTTTGAAATTCCAGTTGAGTTTTTGGCCTTTTGTCTTGACCAGAATGAACAAAACAAAAAATATTCAATAAACGGCTTTAACTAGCCGCGGGGCCAGCTCACAGTTCCGTTTGTCGCCGTTCAACCTTTTGTCTACGTATGTAAATGTCTGTCTCAGTGCCTGATTACGATTTTGATTTTGATTATTAATTGAAGCTGTCTCTGTCTCTGGCTGGTTGCCCTTTTCTCAGGCCGCGCGCCTTTCCCTAGGGAAAAGCGGCCAAAAGCACGCGATGGCCCTGGCCAAGGCAAAATTTGCATTGCAAAGCCATAAAAAGCGGGCAGCTTTTGCAGCTAGCTGTTGCAACTAGCTGCCTGGCTGCCTGGCTGCCTGGCTGCCCACTTGACATGCAGGCGACGCGCCAAAACGAAAGACTCAAGCAACGAACTCGACTGCCTTTTGGGCATATGTCGCAAGTCCAACATGTTGCTTTTGCTTTTGCTGTTATTATTATTATTATTATTATTATTATTGTGGGCAGCATAAGCGCCTGCAGTTGCATATTAATATGCCAGCCACGCCCAGCGGCCGCCCCCTTCTGCTGGTGCTGCTGGCCACAAACAGGTGCCACCGAAAAAAATTTATGGTTAATTCTTGAAATGCTGGCGCATGTACGGCATATGTAAAATGGCCCGACTTAGCCCCCACTCGAGCCACTTGCCGCTGCCCACGCCGCAGCCCCAATTGGCAGCCGTCTCACGTGCCGCCAACAAGTTCTTGTCCATGCCCCCCCCCCCCACACACACACATTGCTGTCTGACAATCGATATAAAATCTGAAGCCTCTATTGTCAGAGAGAGAGAGAGAGAGAGAGGGAGGGGAGGGATAGCTAATGGCCAGCTGCAATTGTTGCTTTTCTTTTTGTGATTTTGCCTGTGCACAGTTCTCACATATATCGCGCGCGCTCTACCTGCCTTTGGATTATGTTTGCCAGCTGCAGCTAGACAACAACTGGTACACAGGTCACTCGCTCACATACAACTGCCAATCTCAGTTGCTGCTGCTGCTGTTGATTTTTTTTTGGCTGCTGTTGCAATTGCGGAAGCAGCAGCAAGAACTAAAACAAGAACTAAAACAAGAACAAGAACAATGGCAACACGTTTAAGCAAATGATCAGCTTGTGGGGCAGGCTAAAAGCCCCCGCATACGGCCATAAATCAGCAGCAACAACAATAAATGGGAATATATGAAAAATAAAAAAATAAAAAACCTAACAAAATGAAATTAAATATGAATAAAAGTCAACGCAGGCAGCTGCCAAGTTGTTAACTCGTTTTTGCATGCAGCTCAAAGCCAAATAGCTGAAAGTAGCTCGATGTGTGCGCGTGTGTGTGTGTGTGTGTGTGTGTGTGTGTGTGTGTGTCAGTTTCAAGGACTGCGAGTAAATGTTGGCGCTGCGCAAAAGTCAATTCCACTCAGTTTGCCATTTGACAGAATGGTTTCAAGTGCTCGCAGCCATAATTACAACAACAGCAACAACAACAGCAGCAACAACAACAATTAGTCCCAAATCCCGTGCTGCTGCCAACCAACTGTTACTCTTAGCCATGACCAACAAAATCGCAACTGACTCGAATCTTGGCCAATTGTTTAAACTAATTACAACAAAAGGCGCGCAATTGCAAGACGAATATTTTGTTTTTTTTTTGGCCACTTGCTGCCTAATTGCCACATATTGTGGGCGAGTACACGTGTGTGGGCGTGGCTTGTTTTTGTTTTTTTTTTAATTGAAAACTAAAAAGCGTGACGCACATCGCTTAACTGAACTAATTAACATGCAACTGTTGCTGACCCAACCGAGCAACAATTTACAATAAGTCACAGGCAAGTGCCTGCCATATGACACAAGCTGCACACACACACACACACACACACACACACAGAGACAAACTTATCGCAATAAGCTGGAAAAATAATTAACTTCAAATAAGCGCAGCGCCCAAAAAAACTACACAACGGCAACAACTGTTTCAATGTCCACTTCCGTTGCCGGGCTTTTCCGTCAATTAAACAGTTTTTCAAGTGAAAAGCAACAAAAAAAAACCAAACACACTCGCACACACACACACACACACGCACTAAGTGCAGGCAACTTGTTCTGTGTTCATTGTGCAGCACTTGGCAATTAGCTGGAAATCTATAAAGATATATTTATATATATATATATATGTATATATATATTTCTATATATGCACATTAGTTGGATATGTTTATTGAGATTTATCCATGTTTAACTATGCTAATTAGAGTCTCTTAGAAGCTCTGCTCAGACACTCCATCATTTATTCAATGCGCATTCGCAGCCACATTCAATTCGGAGACAAGCGGCGGCACAGTGGCGGCCAAAATAGTTGTCACACCTTAAGCCAGGCAGCAGCAGCAGCAGCTTTAGCTGAGCGCCAAAAGTTGACTCAGTTGTAGCCAGTTGACAACTGTCAAGTGTGCTATATAATTACAACAACAACAACAACAAGAAAAACAACAAATAATACACATATACATACATATATATATATATATATATATAATAGATATTTACATTTGAGTGTTCGTATTCGTATTTGTATAGACACGCGTATATTTAGGCTGTTCCATTGCTTCTGTTGCTCTTCTTGTTGACTGACACAACAGCTTGAAAGAAAAACGAGCAAGAAGTGCCGAAGATTTAATACCCTTTCACAAAATACTCCTAAAGTTTCGCTCGTATCTAAGAGGCGCAGGGCAAATAGTTGATGCCGAGTATGGTTGAGATATCTTGATAAGCAAAAAAGTTTTTCATACAAGAACCTTATTTTCGATCGATCGTTCCTATGGCAGCTATATGATAAAGTGGTCCGAAAGAGGGACAAAGATTCATGACGATAGCTTTTAAACTGAGAGACTAGTTGGCATAGAATCAGGCGAACAGCCGGACTTGGCTATATCGACTCGGCTGTTGATGCTGTTGAAGAATATATGTACTTTATGGGCTCGGAGATGTCTCCTTCTGTGCGTTACACATCTCGAGATAAAATTATAATACCCTCTGGAAGAGTATAAAAAATGATTAACTAAAGAACAAAAGCAACAGCAACAACAACAACAACAACAACAACAACAACAATAGTTGTAATTGGCACTGTTAAAAGCAAAAGTGAAAAAAAGGCACTTTAATACCATATGCCGCATATGGCGCGTCATTTGGCCGCCCCTCTCGAGACGCCCCTCTCCTGCTTCGGCCTGTGTCAGGTTCTTTCCGACGGCAACGCCTCAGCTTTCAGGGCGTCGTCAGCAAATGCTGGCCAGCAACAGATCCAGAGGCCAGCCCCAAAACAGGCCCCATACGCTTTGTAACATTAGAACTGGCTCTCTTTCTATATATATTTATATATAGATATATATACATATAGATATGCCGCGTCGGCAGTTTGCAGATACTCTGTTCACAGCAGCTAATAAGGGTATATTGGTGCTCTCATTGTGCCAAATAGAGTAAAATTTGCAGTTGAAGCTTGCTCTAAGACACAGTTTGAAAGTCATTTATAGTCTTAGAGTCTTCAACCGCTTCGCAGGGCATTGATCAGTCGTTAATACGCGACTGCAATGTGCTCCCTTTGCAGTTGTCAACTTGCAATTTGATTTTTGGCACACACACACACACACACTCAGAGGGTTGCCTCGTGGAGCTTGGATCTTGGGGATAGCTGAGCTGGACCGGTTTGTTGGGCAAAAAACTTTCGGCCCGTGTTGCCAAAAAAAAAATGAGGTCGTCTTGTCAAAAGCAAAAGCGAAAGTTCAACGCGTTGGTTCTGGTTTCTTTCTCGCTTCGCTTGCCCCTCGCCAGCCCGCCACCCCGTCTCCCCCTCTTCCCCTCTCCCTCCCCCTCGCCACATGTCGCCGCATCAGTCGCCAGTCGACAGTCGCCAGTCTCAACCTCTCACCTGTCGCCTGGCTTAGGGTGTGCCGAAAAACTAGCCGCGTGCTGCCAAGCTGTGCAGCTGTTATCGCCCATCAAGCAGACGACAACAACTGCCCGGCTTTGTCCGGCTCTTTGTCTTCTGGTTTTGGTTCGCGTGACCAGCCGAAGTCCAAGTTCAAATGGGTTTCAATTGGCAGCTCGAGCTGGCATTTGCGGTTCTTCATGCACTTTGCGCATATTCGACTTCCTTTCACGAGCCAATTGTTTGGGGGCTGACGCTTCACTTTTTTTTATTTTTTGCCTGACTTTAAATACCCTAATGAGGGGCTATATATAATGGGGGGTAGCTTATGCTACAGACGCAAAATATTCTTCCACAGCAGCAAAGGTTGTTATTGAAATTCATAGAATTGTTTAATAGACAAGCTCATGTTCCCATATGCGACAGATATAAATATAAATATGAATATATCCGCCCAACTTGGTATATAGGCACTCTCGTACATATATTATATATACAAGCCTCCTAGAATTGGACAAAGGAATATTTATTTTCAAGGGAAGCGTTGGGAATTTCATAAAGATCGAACTTTGAGCACCGAAGTTAGGCAAGCGAATGTTTGTAGGGTATCTGCCCGTGGAGCACTTTTTAAGCTGCTCACTTTTTGCACTTGTTCTTATTTAGAGTCGAGTCTGTCGTACATGCACTTCCGTTTGGCTACGTCAACGACTTTTGCATGTCCAGCTCGGCTCCGTTTAGTCAGTCGCCGCATCGTTATCGCACTTAATCGATGTCGCCATCAACGTCAACGTCATTATCATTATCATTTTCATTATCATTATTATCGTCGTCGTCGTCGTCGTCGTCGGCGTCGTGGCCTGCGCAATGGCAAACAGTGGAGCGAGCAGGCGATTTTGAGACGCGGTCAACTGAATTTGAGTTCTTCTTCTTTCAAGCAGAGCCGCGCCAGGCAAGAGCAGGAGCAAGAGCAAGCATTAATTAGATCGATAGCAGCCGAGGGATCCAATCAAGCATGATCAAGTTCCGCTACAAGCGAAAGGAGCCCAGCAACGTGGTTGCCAGCAGCTCGCCATCGACGACGAGCACAGTCCCGACCCCAAAGACGGCTGCGGCGTCTCCGCTGCAGCAGCTGATTAGCAACAATGGCACCTTGCCCCGGAGCAGTCCCAGGAAGCTGCTGCTGGAGGCCGGCGAGGGCCACAAGTCGGCCACCCTGACGCGCCAGAGCAAGCCGACCAAGCAGCAGAACGTCTGCGCCTTGGCCAAGGTGTCCAGCAGCGTGGAGCTGGCGGTGCTCGGATACAGCGGCAACGGCAACGGCATCGGCAACGGCTCGAGTTCCGCCGAGCGGGATCGCTGCATCAATGCGGTCATTGTAAGTCCATATCCGGTCCAAAACCATTTGCAATGCCAACTCATATTCTAGCTATAAATACATACATATGTATATATATATATATATATACTGGTTCGGTTTTCGTTGCTAACCTCTCCATCTCCATGGCAGGAATTGTTCCAGCAGCTGCAGACCAGCTCGGAGCCAGCTTTATGCCCGGAGCCACTGCGTCGCGCCTTGGCCAGCGGTCCGCTCGCCGGTCGTCGCTTCCCGCTGGGCTGCCTGGGCGATGCCGCCGAGTGCTTCGAGCTGCTGCTCCATCGCGTCCACTCGCACATCTCCCCTGACGACGGTGACTCCTGCGAGTCGCCGGCCTGCATTGCCCATCGCCGCTTCGCGATGCGCGTCATCGAGCAAAGCGTCTGCAAATGCGGCGCCAACTCCGAGCAGCTGCCCTTCACGCAGGTGAGTTTAGTCATTTAATCATCTAGTTCAAGTACGATATCGGAATCTGGCTTTTGAACAAATCTCTTAGCTTCTAAGAGCTGGGGTCACTCAATTTGACTTCCACAAAATATATACGGATCAAGTATACTTCAATATAGACACTCTTACTTGTTAAAGGCAGAACTCTAGGCTTTGGTATAAACAATCTTGAACAAATCTCTTAGCTTCTAAGAGCTGGGGTCACTCAATTTGACTTCTAGAAAATGTATACCTACCACATACCTCCTCTTATTTGTTAATGGAAGAACTCAAGGCTTTGGTATATACATGCTCTTGTTACCAGAATATTTCTTGATGATCGGACTGCAAGAAATCAAAGTTAATTAAGAATGGAAATAGTTCTTGTTAGGGTTAGGAACGGGATTAAATTTCATTTACTTTTACTTTTCACTGTAGCTTAGCTACTTTTATCAGCGTGAGGATCGGAGTTTCATAGTAAAAGTAGCTAAGGGCGTCGGTTGGCCAGGTCTATGGGGTAGCTCTTTCCAAGCCTCCTTCGAATAAGATTAGAATGAAATGAAATTCCAAAAGTAGTTTTTCTTTAACAAACTAAATTGCAAGCAGCTTTTCTTACTGTGCATTGGAAGTGTATGAATGGGGCTCGTGGCGTGGGCTTGGAACACCTGCGAATCGGACAGAGCAGGCGCCCGAGCAGGGACCAGAACAGTTAGACGCTCGTCGGATTGGGTTGCCAAACGGGTTTCGTGACGGCGCAACGTGAACCTGAACGTGAACACGAACATTAGCTGGCGAGGGGGCGGGTGGGCAGTCGTTCGACCAGTTTCGGAACCGGAGAGAGGAGGATTGGATCATAGATTGCATTTGTATTAATCTTGTGCTGTGTGTGTGTTTTGTGCTCCCTCCACAGATGGTGCACTATGTCTCAGCCTCGGCGCTGACCTCACAGAAGAGCCTCGCGCTGCAGAACCACCAGCAGCTGAGCTTCGGCCAGCTGCTGCGCGCCGCGGGCAACATGGGCGACATACGGGACTGTCCGGTAAGTAACTGCAGCGATCCTCTCCAGCAGAACAGCAGCTAATCGAATTGCATACGCAGAACACTTGTGGGGCGAAGATTGGCATTTGCCGGGCGCTGCTCAATCGGCCGGATGTCGTCTCGATTGGCATTGTGTGGGACTCGGAGCGACCCGCCGCCGACCAGGTGCACGCGGTACTGAAGGCGGTTGGAACCAGCCTGCGGCTGGCCGATGTCTTCCATCAGGTCAGCGAGCAGCGCTGGGCCCAGCAGGCGCAGCACGAGCTGGTCGGCATCGTCTCCTACTACGGCAAGCACTACACCACCTTCTTCTTCCACACCAAGCTGAAGGTGTGGGTCTACTTCGACGACGCCAACGTCAAGGAGGTCGGCCCCAGCTGGGAGGGCGTCGTCGACAAGTGCAGTCGCGGCCGCTACCAGCCCCTGCTGCTGCTCTACGCCGTGCCCCAGCCGCCCAGCTCAGCCGCAGCTGGCGCCGTTGCCGCCGTTGCCGCCAACAATTGCGGCATGGAGCGACGCGCCGTCACGCCCAGCCCGGAGAAGCCCAGCCTGGGCAGCACCAGGCGCGCCATTACGCCAACGCCAACGCCGACGCCGATGCCGATGCCGACGCCGGGGTTCACGGCCACAGCGCTGCGTGCGCCTCTGAATGACTACCAGAATCTGAGCGTCATCCAGAAGAATATATTTCCGGCAGCTGCGGCTGCAGCTGCTCCGGCGGCCGTTGGCAGCGACGAGACGGATGCGTACATCAGCCGGAAGACCGTGGAGCATGTGCTCAGCGCCCAGTACCAGAACCTGAGCGTCATCCAGGACAAGATCGTGGCCGGCGACAAGGAGGGCGGCTTTCTCAACCGCAAGCCCATCGAGGCGATGCTCAGCGCCCAGCTGGCGCGCCGCCAGCATCTCCAGCTGCAGCGCAGCCACAGCGCCGAGTCGAGCTCGGGCCATGCGAGCGGCGCCTCCAATGGCAGCTCCCCGCCCAGCGACGGGCTGACCATACCCGAGCACCTCAATCAGCCGAGGCGCCGCGATTCCGGCAACTGGTCCGGGGATCGCAACAGCGCCAGCTCCGCCAGCTCCACCACCCTGGACAATCCATATCTCTACATGGTCGCCAAGCGGGGCGTCGCCGCTGTGCCGCAGAGCCCCACGCGGCACGCCCACGCCCACGTCCACGGCTACGGCCATGGACATGCAATCGGACACGGACATGCACTGGGCCATGCACATGGACTGCCCTACGATGCGGGCTACGACTCGTTCTCACTCAGCTCGACGGACTCGTATCCGCCCAAGCATGCGCTCAATCCCCAGCTGGCCAAGATACCAGAAGCGGGCGCGGGTGCGGGTGCGGGCGCGGCCGCGGGCGTGACGCCCAATGGAGCTGGCCAGGCACACGGCCACGGCCATGGCCATGGCCATGGACACGGACACGGACTGGCGCTGACCGGAGACTGCGAGAAGCTGTGCCATGAGGCCGACCAGCTGCTGGAGAAATCGCGTCTGGTCGAGGAGTCGCACGATCTGGAGACGGCGCTCGTCCTATGCAATGCGGCCGCGGGCAGGGCCCGGGCCGCCATGGACGCGCCGTACAGCAATCCGCACACGATGACGTTCGCACGGATGAAGCACAATACGTGCGTGATGCGGGCACGGAGCCTGCACCGGCGCATCCTCGTCGAGAAGGGGGCCGAGAGCGAGGCGATGCCCGAGCTGAAGCACATGCGCGAGGGCAGCAACAGCTCCGTGAAGCACATGCGCCAGAACAGCAAGGATCGCACGCTCGACAAGCTCGACAAGCTCGAGCCGAGCGCCTCGGCGGCCAAGAGCATCGAGATCTATGCGACGCTGCCCAAACGCAAGAGTCCTCTTAAGGCGCTCGCCAGCGGCGGAGACGACAATGCCATCGAGTATGAGCAGCAGGTGACCACCAGCCACCAGACAAAGCCGGAGCGCGAGAGCCGCTCCCTATTCGGGCGTCGCGACAAGGACAAAGATAAGGACAAGGAGAAGGATAAGGAGAAGGAGAAGGATAAGGAGAAGGAGAAGCGCAGCCGCAGCGAGGATCGCAACAAGCTGACGCGCGAGTTCTCGCTGACGGAGACGCTGCTGGTGAATGCCAAGGACACGCTGAAGAAGCACAAGGAGGACAAGGACGAGAAAAAGGAGAAGGACAAGAGCGGCAAGAAGCAGCACAAGATCCGACGCAAACTCCTCATGGGCGGCCTCATACGCCGCAAGAATCGCTCCATGCCCGATCTCACCGAGGCCGTCGACGATGCTGCCGGCGCCGCTGCCAATGCCAGCGTCCACGGTGCCACGCCCACCATTGCGCCATTGACCAGCTCCGTGGACGACAGCGCCGTCGGCCTGAATCTGCACGGGCATGCCAAGCACGGCCACGCCTACAACGCCGCAATGACCATGAGCGGCTACATCTCAGAGGGGCACTTCGACTACTCGCACGGCGGCCACAATCCACAGCTGTCGTCGACGGTGCAGCAGTCCAGCGCCAATCCCAATCTGGAGCGCAGCAAGCTGATGCGCAAGAGCTTCCACGGCAGCGGCCGACAGCTGACCATGGTGCCCAAGGTGGCGCCGCCGCCGCCCATGCGCACCAGCTCCTCCCTCACCCCTCAGCAGCAGCAGCAGCAGCAACAGTTCCATCACGAGGCCAATCTGTCGAATATATCGGCCATGAGCTCGAACACCTCGATCAGCGAGGACTCGTGCCAGACCATAATCACGACCTGCGCCCAGGTGCACTCCGAGCAGAGTCCGCTCAAGGATCTCCAGCTGCAGATGACGCCCTACGACGAGCTCGACGGGCTATCCCTGGCCATGACCATGCCCTTGGCCATGGGCATGGCGCCGCCGCCGCCGCCGCCGCCGCTGGAGTTGCCGCCGTATCCCAGCCCGCCGCAGTCGGTGTGCCATTCGCGGCAGGCCAGCGAGGATTTCCCGCCACCGCCGCCGCCCGAGATCGATCTGGAGCCGCTCAACCAGCAGCTGAGCCACCTGCATGCCCTCGAGGCGGCCAGCAAGCAGCAGCGCCAGCAGCTCGACTCGCTGGAGGGCACCACCAGCATTTTGGCCCAGCTGCAGCAGCGACAGCATCTGCTCAAGCTGCGCAAGGAGCAGGCCACGCCCATGCCCGATCTCAGAGGGATGCAGCGCAAACAGGATGCGCCCTCGCCCAGCAGCGTACGAGATCTGGCCCATCGCTTCGAGCAGAGCAGCAGTTCATCCGGCCCCACCATGCGCTCCTATGCCTCCCAAGAGCTGCTCAGCCCCAGCTCCAGCTCCAGCTGCAGCTCCAGCTGCGGAACCTCCGCCCAAGCAACGGCCGCACAGTTGCGCACACAGATGAACGGCCTGCCCAACGGCAAGCCGGACGCAGATGAGGTTGACTGTGCGCCCGTCCGCCTGCATCCCCCTCTGCACCCAACCCTGCACCAACAGCAGCACCAGCAGCAGCAGCTGCTGCCCAAGCCCAAGTACGAGATGTCGCAGTCGCAGATCGCCGAAGAGATACGCGAAGTGGAGCTGCTCAACACAATGGTACAGCAGACGCTCAACCAGACCAATCTGGCGCCGCCGAAGCGCGTTAAGAAGAAGAGCGTCTCGTTCTGCGACCAGGTCATCCTGGTGGCCACCGCCGGCAACGAGGAGGACGACGATTTCATACCCAATCCCATACTGGAGCGCGTACTGCGCACCGCCCAGCATCCCAACGAGAAGGTAACCGCGCAGCTCATCCAGCAGCAGCAGCAGAACATGCTGCGCCTGCAAACGGAGCCGCAGCCACGACAACAGCAGCAGCAGCAGCAGCAGCAACAGTCGTCGCCCATGCTGGGCAGGCCGGATATGCAGCGATATGTGCAGCGACAGCAGCAGCTGCTGCAGCAACAGCAGCAGCAGCAACAGGAGCTGTTTCGCCTCCAGCAGCAGCAGCAGCAACAGTTGCAGCAGCAGCGCACCAGCATGAGCGGCATTTCCAGCCAGCAGCAGCAGCAGCAGCAGCAGCAGCTGGATGCACAGTACACGAGCATGCCCCGGCCCCTGCATGCCGCACATCAGCTGCCCCAAAGCTATTCCGTGCAACTGCAAAAGCATCAGCAGCAGCAGCAGCAGCAGCAGCAGATGACCCTCGCCTACTTCAGCAATGGCAACGTGCTGGCCGGCCTGCAGTTGCCCGAGCAGCCGCTGCCCTCGCCCTATCAGCGCGTGCCCCTGCCCCATGGCTATCAGCAGGCCGCCGCAGTCGCAGCCGCAGCCAGCTACTATGCGCCCCCGCAGCAGCAGCAGCAGCAACAGCAGCAGCAACTGGTCAATGGCAAGCCGGCGCAAAAGAAGGTCAGCTTTGAGCCGGGCACCAAGGGCGAAACGGATGGTTGCCTGCCCCCGCTGCCCCCGCTGCCGCCGGCGCCGCCGTCGCAGTCGAAGCTGGGGCTGCAGAACGGGCTGCCGGAATCGGCGGCCGGGATGACGGCCATTATACCCACCCGCGTCTACAACAATGCCATTGTGAAGGCCTCCGCGAAGGCCGTCGAGTGCAATCTGTGCCGCAAGCGGCACGTGATCGCGCCCGCCGTCTACTGCACCAACTGCGAGTACTATCTGCAGATGCTCAACCAGCGCAGATGATCCAACAGATCAATCAATCCTGACACGCCCCCGCGCCCTACACAGCATGGATAAAGGAAGCCGAAGCCGAAGCCAGCCGGGCTGCGGATGGTTGTTGCCTTGTGTTGGAGTGTGGCATCCGGCAACAGTCCCTTTATGTTTGCGCATAGATGTCCGAACTGTTCCAGCCACGCCTTCGCCTTACGCCTACGCCTACTGCACGCACGCACATGTTCCCAGCACACACACATATATGTTTACTTGCCCATATATCTAACACACGTCGCTCGCAACGAACATTAACAACAACAACAACAACAACAACAACAACACATGACTAACTCCATCCAGCCAGGCTTCCGCAAACCTTTTATTTTGTTTGTTTGTTTTCTTTTACACACACATTTTATGCATATTTGCTTCTTATTTTTTTTTTTGATTATCTTAACATTTAAGCTAAAGTCGACTTTTTTTTTTTGCTAGACCTACGCAAGTTTGAAACTCAGCCGCTGAGCTTCCGCCGCCGGGCAGTTGTCGAACGACTACCGGAAGAGTTTTTTTTTTTTTTATTATATGCCTTAAATATCGTAAGCTATCGTAAGCATTTATTTTTTTTAGCCACTTATCATGTACTTAATAAGCATTTTATTTTCAGTATACATTTTTTTTGAAATGCATTTTATTTGATTTATTATTTAATAGTGTTAAATGTTTATATTTACATACATTATGACGATTTTTTAAGATTTTTCTTTACAGAAAACACAACTGCACAAATGATGCGAGAAAAGATAAGAAACGAATGGTAAAAATTATTTTAATAAAGAGAAATAAATAAATGTCTGTGTTTTAATGGGCTAACAATTACACTTAATTGTTAAGCTTATACCTAAGCCAATGTGGTAAATACTGCGACAAACCCAATGGGACTAAGAACTATTACGAAAATCAAAATCATTTTTAAGCATAGCTTTAAGTGAATTATAACATGAAATAAGATACCTTACCTGACAATCAATGTGCTTGCCGCTTAAATCGATTATTGGACAGCATACTTTTAGGCTGAATCATAAATCAAATATCGTAAGCCTTTAACAAACAATAAAAAACCACGCGATTCCGGGATAGCGACATAATGATATATATATCCCATATACGTAACACTGGACTGCGAAATAATTTGAATTATTTAAATTTTGAAAAATTTAGATTTTTATTTCTTTGATGCCAATCCATAGTACTGAGTTATTCCGAAAAATCATCAAAAAAGGTTGACATTGCAAACGAATCGTTTTTCGGCCAACAACTTATTTTATGTTTGAATGCAGATTGATAGTACGGATCCCTACGAGTTCAAAAATGTATAACATTTCAAAATCAGACAGTATTTACCCGAGATATTCAACAAAAATCATCAAAAAAGTTTCGATTTCCGAACCGAACCCGAATTGGAGAAAAAACGTGATGTAACCCCTTGCCATTTTGATGATTTTGGTCAAAAAATAGATTTTTATTTTTTTGATGCCAATCGATAGTACTGATCCTTACGAGTCCAAAATGGTATAAAATTCCCAAATCGGACATTGTTTGGCCGAGATATTACCAAAAATCATCAAAAAAGGTTGACTTTACAAACGAATCTGTTTTTGGCTAACCACTTTTTTTGACCTATCGTTTTTTAAAATGTTTGAATGCAGATTGATAGTAGGGATCCCTACGAATTCAAAAAGGTATAACATTTCAAAATCGGACAGCATTTACCCGAGATATTCAATAAAAATCATCAAAAAAGTTTCGAATTTCGAACCGACCCCGAATTTGAGAAAAAACATGATGTAACCCCTTGCCATTTTGATGATTTTGGTCAAAAATTAGATTTTTATTTTTTTGATGCCAATCGATAGTACTGATCCTTACGAGTCCAAAATGGTATAAAATTCCCAAATCGGACATTGTTTGGCCGAGATATTACCAAAAATCATCAAAAAAGGTTAACTTTACAAACGAATCTGTTTTTGGTCAGCCACTTTTTTTGAACTATCGATTTTTAAAATGTTTGAATGCAGATTGATAGTAGGGATCCCTACGAATTTAAAAAGGTATAACATTTCAAAATCGGACAGCATTTACCCGAGATATTCCCTAAAAATTATCAAAAAAGTTTCGAATTTCGAACCGACCCCGCATTTGAGAAAAAACGTGATGTAACCCCTTGCCATTTTGATGATTTTGGTCAAAAATTAGATTTTTATTTTTTTGATGCCAATCGATAGTACTGATCCTTACGAGTCTAAAATGGTATAAAATTCCCACATCGGACATTGTTTGGCCGAGATATTACCAAAAATCATCAAAAAAGGTTGACTTTACAAACAAATCGGTTTTTGGTCAGCCACTTTTTTTGAACTATCGATGCCTACGAATTCAAAAAGGTATAACATTTCAAAATCGGACAGCATTTACCCGAGATATTCAATAAAAATTATCAAAAAAGTTTCGAATTTCGAACCGACCCCGCATTTGAGAAAAAACGTAACCCCTTGCCATTTTGATGATTTTGGTCAAAAATTAGATTTTTATTTTTTTGATGCCAATCGATAGTACTGATCCTTACGAGTCTAAAATGGTATAAAATTCCCACATCGGACATTGTTTGGCCGAGATATTACCAAAAATCATCAAAAAAGGTTGACTTTACAAACGAATCTGTTTTTGGTCAACCACTTTTTTTGACCTATCGATTTTTAAAATGTTTGAATGCAGATTGATAGTAGGGATCCCTACGAATTCAAAAAGGTATAACATTTCAAAATCGGACAGCATTTACCCGAGATATTCAATAAAAAGCATCAAAAAAGTTTCGAATTTCGAACCGACCCCGAATTTGAGAAAAAACATGATGTAACCCCTTGCCATTTTGATGATTTTGGTCAAAAATTAGATTTTTATTTTTTTGATGCCAATCGATAGTACTGATCCTTACGAGTCCAAAATGGTATAAAATTCCCAAATCGGACATTGTTTGGCCGAGATATTACCAAAAATCATCAAAAAAGGTTGACTTTACAAACGAATCGGTTTTTGGTCAACCACTTTTTTTGAACTATCGATTTTTAAAATGTTTGAATGCAGATTGATAGTAGGGATCCCTACGAATTCAAAAAGGTATAACATTTCAAAATCGGACTGCATTTACCCGAGATATTCAATAAAAAGCATCAAAAAAGTTTCGAATTTCGAACCGACCCCGCATTTGAGAAAAAACGTGATGTAACCCCTTGCCATTTTGATGATTTTGGTCAAAAATTAGATTTTTATTTTGTTGATGCCAATCGATAGTACTGATCCTTACGAGTCCAAAATGGTATAAAATTCCCACATCGGACATTGTTTGGCCGAGATATTACCAAAAATCATCAAAAAAGGTTGACTTTACAAACGAATCTGTTTTTGGTCAACCACTTTTTTTGACCTATCGATTTTTAAAATGTTTGAATGCAGATTGATAGTAGGGATCCCTACGAATTCAAAAAGGTATAACATTTCAAAATCGGACAGCATTTACCCGAGATATTCAATAAAAAGCATCAAAAAAGTTTCGAATTTCGAACCGACTCCGCATTTGAGAAAAAACATGATGTAACCCCTTGCCATTTTGATGATTTTGGTCAAAAATTAGATTTTTATTTTTTTGATGCCAATCGATAGTACTGATCCTTACGAGTCCAAAATGGTATAAAATTCCCAAATCGGACATTGTTTGGCCGAAATATTACCAAAAAGCATCAAAAAAGGTTGACTTTACAAACGAATCGGTTTTTGGTCAACCACTTTTTTTGAACTATCGATTTTTAAAATGTTTGAATGCAGATTGATAGTAGGGATCCCTACGAATTCAAAAAGGTATAACATTTCAAAATCGGACAGCATTTACCCGAGATATTCAATAAAAAGCATCAAAAAAGTTTCGAATTTCGAACCGATCCCGCATTTGAGAAAAAACGTGATGTAACCCCTTGCCATTTTGATGATTTTGGTCAAAAATTAGATTTTTATTTTTTTGATGCCAATCGATAGTACTGATCCTTACGAGTCCAAAATGGTATAAAATTCCCAAATCGGACATTGTTTGGCCGAAATATTACCAAAAATCATCAAAAAAGGTTGACTTTACAAACGAATCGGTTTTTAGTCAACCACTTTTTTTAACATTTCGATTTTTAAAATGTTTGAATGCAGATTGATAGTAGGGATCCCTACGAATTTAAAAAGGTATAACATTTCAAAATCGGACAGCATTTACCCGAGATATTCAATAAAAAGCATCAAAAAAGTTTCGAATTTCGAACCGACCCCGAATTTGAGAAAAAACATGATGTAACCCCTTGCCATTTTGATGATTTTGGTCAAAAATTAGATTTTTATTTTTTTGATGCCAATCGATAGTACTGATCCTTACGAGTCCAAAATGGTATAAAATTCCCAAATCGGACATTGTTTGGCCGAAATATTACCAAAAAGCATCAAAAAAGGTTGACTTTACAAACGAATCGGTTTTTGGTCAACCACTTTTTTTAACATTTCGATTTTTAAAATGTTTGAATGCAGATTGATAGTAGGGATCCCTACGAATTCAAAAAGGTATAACATTTCAAAATCGGACAGCATTTACCCGAGATATTCAATAAAAATTATCAAAAAAGTTTCGAATTTCGAACCGACCCCGCATTTGAGAAAAAACGTGATGTAACCCCTTGCCATTTTGATGATTTTGGTCAAAAAATAGATTTTTATTTTTTTGATGCCAATCGATAGTACTGATCCTTACGAGTCGAAAATGGTATAAAATTCCCAAATCGGACATTGTTTGGCCGAGATATTACCAAAAATCATCAAAAAAGGTTGACTTTACAAACGAATCTGTTTTTGGTCAACCACTTTTTTTGACCTATCGATTTTTAAAATGTTTGAATGCAGATTGATAGTAGGGATCCCTACGAATTCAAAAAGGTATAACATTTCAAAATCGGACAGCATTTACCCGAGATATTCAATAAAAAGCATCAAAAAAGTTTCGAATTTCGAACCG